GGGGCGGGGCACACGGTGGTGAGCTGTACCGGGGCGGGGCACACGGCGGTGAGCTGTACCGGGGCGGGGCACACGGCGGTGAGCTGTACCGGGGCGGGGCACACGGTGGTGAGCTGTACCGGGGCGGGGCACACGGTGGTGAGCTGTACCGGGGCGGGGCACACGGTGGTGAGCTGTACCGGGGCGGGGCACACGGTGATGGCTGCATCGGGTGGGGCGCGCCATGATGAGCTGTACCGGGGTGGAGCACACAGTAATGACCTAAACCGGGGTGGAGCACACGGTGATAAACTGTACCACGGTAGAGCACACGGTGGTGGGCTGTATCGGGGTGGAGCACACGGTGATTAGCTGTACCGCGGTAGAACACACGGTGGTGGGCTGTATCGGGGTGGAGCACACGGTGATTAGCTGTACCGCGGTAGAACACACGGTGATGGGCTGTATCGGGGTGGAGCACGCGTACCGGGGTGGAGCACACGGCAATGAGCTGTACCGGCGTGGAGCACACGATGGCGGGGTGTACCGGGGTGAAGCACGCGGCGATGGGCTGTATTAGGTTGGAGCACACGGTGGTGAGCTATACCGGTGTGGAGCATACGGTGATGAGCTGTACCGGGAGGAGCACACGGCAATGAGCTGCACCGGGGTGGAGCACACGGTGATGAGCTGTACCGGGGTGAAGCACACGGCGATGAGCTGTGCCGGGGTGGAGCACACGGCGATGAGCTGTGCCGGGGTGGGACATACGGTGATGAGCTGTAAGGCGGCGGAGCACACAATGCGGGGCTATCTAGACCAGACGCACAACGCAGTTCTGTTCTAGGGTATGATGCACGGTGGGGAGAAGAGGGGGGGGGGGGGAGGAGTTTCCACGGGAGCCAGGTGCAGGGTAAGTGACTACACTAGTGCTCGACTCACGTTGCGGGGCTATGCCAGGGCGGACTGTGCGACATGAGTCGTGCGACGGTTTGGTACGCCGTGCGGAGCGTTGGCAGGGCCGTGTGCACGGCTAGTGGCTGTGCCGGAGCTGCGCACATGCACCGAGAGGCACTGACAGTGGCGGCTATGGGTGAAGCCCCTCTTTAGAACTTGAGGCAGGAATATTGCAGTTAGTTAAGCGTTTGTTTTTGTCTGTTGTTAACATGACAGAAGCAGTGACAGAAATGAGCCTTGCGTCGCTTTTGTCGAAGTTCGGGGAGAGAAGCGTCGAAGCTGGAGATCGCCACACTGTCGCGACTCGTCCCCCTGGAGGTGTTGGCGTTAACATCGCCAATGGGGCCCATGTAAGGCTAGCTATTCACCGGCACCAGTCACTGCCCGTGCATCACTGCAGGCCACCCGGACTCGTTCGTGTTCGGCTCGGTGCGAGACGGCGTGTTCGAGGGCGCGCTGGTGGTGCCGCCCGTCACCTATTACGTGGAGCCGGCGCAGGTGTTCGGCGGCGCCCGGCCGGCGGCCGCACACTCGGTCATATACTCCAGCCAGGACGTGAGGTTCCCCAACGGTGAGACCGATCACGCTGGCTGTGGGTGGGGCAGCATCTCGCGGAGGGCACGGTGCGATTCGGTCGATAGCTTTTAGACTTGGTGGGCTGCCGTAGACTCCAGTGTAATGCTGGTGTGTGCTGCCAGATGCGTGTTGTATGTGCCTGCATGCCATACAAAGATGACACCTCAAACCACCAGTCTGTCAAGTTCACCTGCAGTGATCTGAGAGATAAGAATGCTTAGATATGAGGCGAGATCAAATTCAAAACTGGGATACAAGACGGTAGCGTGCCTGACATCGTTGGAAATGTTTTTGTCCGAAAAGTGTGTAAGCAAATTAATTTATCGATAATTCAAACTTTCCGGGCTTCTTTTCAGGCTCAGGTTGTGGGTTTCGAGATCACCTTCATCGCGATGTCACACAGCCAGGCCACTCCAGCCATCGCCCAGTGAGTGACGTGTATCCCGACCAGGTGGTCAGTTAACACCGACGACTCTCTCTCTCTAAAGCTCGCTGTCGATACAATGGCCGTCACGATGCGTCGTTAAAGCGCAGTCTCAAACGGAGCACACCGGTATATAGGTGCGGCTTATTTTTCGTTGAAAATGTTAACGATGTGTCTTCTTTTAAGCGCCACAGGAAGCGTCTCGCCGCTCGGTTAACAGGGCATCGCACCTCGCGAACCGGGCTTCAGCCGGGACAGGGCCGGGCGCGTGTGGCCGCTGCTGGACCCTGCTGCGCTTGCTCGCAGACGGAGGCGGCGGAGGCGGCAGAGGCCGGCCGCCGCCGCCGGTTCCTGACGAGCCGCTTCAGCCCGGCTCCGAACGCCAACCCGAACAAGGACCAGGCGGGCGTGTGCACCATGGCCATCGAGACCGACCCCATGCTCTGGAAATACGTCATCGACAAGGTGACCGGCCTGGGCGCCGGCGCTGGCTGGCTGGTGCAGACAGCACCGCTGCTGCTGCTGCTTGTGTCGGGCCAGACCGTGGCTGGTGCCCAACTGGTTTGGACTTGCGGTGGCGATTCTTTTTAAGTAACGCAGAAGTTTCCCTGAATGACGGCGTTCCTTGAGCACAGCATCGTCCCGCCGGGAACTGTTTGGTCCCGACGCAGAGAACGGTCTCAACCCATTTGACCGGCTACTGGGTGTGTCATAACCAGGGGTGTCACTTTCGGATTCGGCTGGTGGGCGGAGCCAATATGGGTGACTTGACATACCCCCAAATCCTAATTTCTCACGGATTTTTACCACCGTAAATTACGCCCCTCACGCGAGTGGAAAATATTGGGTCCGTTTCAAAATTGCTTTGTGTTGAGGTATAAGTGAAGCCGATGAAATATTGCTGATAATGATAATATCGACAGGGATGTATTCAGGTACCTACTGTACCGGCAGATAAGACACTTGCATTTCATTGACCCAGTACTCCCTTTTTGCTCACGTGCTTCTTGGGGTGAGCCCAGAAGAGCATTGAGGGGTTTGAGTCAGCATTAGGAGGGTCTCAGTCCCCCGGAAGTAGACAAGTGACACCCCTGGTGGTAACTTCACGCGTATGTATAACTGGCTGCCAAAAGGCCTTGTTTCGTTGTGCGACATGACGGAGGGGGGGGGGGGAAGGAGGGGAGGTTGGCGCCGCCCAAGCACGTCGCCCCGCCATCCGACCGCCTCGCGCCGCCCGGCAGTTCGATGGGGACGCCCGTCGGAGCCGCGACTACCTCATCAGCCTGATCGGCTCGCACATGGTGTACATCAACCATCTGTACGCCGCCCTGCAGTTCAACGGCGTGTACCAGCACGAGGGCCTGCAGTTCCAGCTGCAGAAGCTGCTGGTGCGCGTCTCCGCCGGCTCGGCCGGTCGCCACCGTCTGGCCAACCCGACAGTGTACCGTGATGGCGATGCGTTGGTCTGCCGCACACGCGACAGAAAACAGTGTTTGACGAGATTGGAATCTGCCTTTGGTCTGGGCATTGGCACGTTTATTTTGAGTTAATGCAGGCGTGAGCTTATCTGTGGTCTCGTTCGAGCTGCCGCCGCCATGCCTGTCTCTCCGCTCGTCGGTCGAGGTTCAGCAACTTGGCCTGCCCCTCCCTCCTCTCAGATCATCGACCGCCCCGCTGCTCCCCAGTCCAGACCCAACACCTCGGCCCGTCCCTCCCTCCCCTCAGATCACTGACCGCCCCGCTGCTCCCCAGTCCAGACTCAATACCTCGGCCCGTCCCTCCCTCCCCTCAGATCACTGACCGCCCCGCTGCTCCCCAGTCCAGACTCAATACCTCGGCCCGTCCCTCCCTCCCCTCAGATCACTGACCGCCCCGCTGCTCCCCAGTCCAGACCCAACACCCTCGGCCCGTCCCTCCCTCCCCTCAGATCAGTGACCGCCCCGCTGCTCCCCAGTCCAGACCCAACACCTCGGTCCATCTCTCCCTCCCCCCAGATTACCGACGAGAAGACGTGCGCCGCGGGCTATAAGGGTGAGCCGAGCCGATTTTGCCCCGACAAACGTCGACTTCAAGGACTACCTGAACCTGCAGTCAATGGGCGACCACCGCGAGTTCTGTCTGGCCTTCGCCTTCACTTACCGCGACTTCACCGAGAGCGTCATGGGCTTTGCTTGGAAAGGCAGCCAGGACATCAAGGGTACGCTCTTGGAGCTTCGGCGTTTGCTTTATACGCCGCGCCCCGCAGGCCACGCGCTCCACTCGGAAGCCGAAGGTGCGAAAGCTGCGAGCTTCACCTGAATGCGTGAAACCCTCTCATCTGAGAGTCTTCTGTGGCGAAGCGCTTGTTTGGGATGTCAGAGTAGCTGGGCATGGAGGCGGGCATTTGGGAACGCTGTGGGGTGTTTGTGTGTGCTTGATCATCTATGTATGACGAAGGACGTCACCGCTATAGTGGCACTGATTTGGTCACTCTCCTGGATTGAGATCTACCATGTTCTGCGAAACGGACCATTGTTTTCACTGGAACAATGTGCTGGTGTACTTAAGATGGTTTCCACACTGCTGATTTGGCGTACCAGGCGTCTACTCGCGACGCAACGTCTAACACAGAATGCTACGAGGCCCGTGCCCTGCTTGTCGGCCCCCGCGCGTCTGCTACATGCTCTCTGGCTCACGTCATCGTCCTGACGCCCGGAGTATGTCGATGTACTCTGGACTCGCGGGTGCGAGATCGCGTCGCATGGATCAGTTATTGGACGCGCCAGTTGTGGGCTCACACGCCGGTCGTCTGTGGGATCGGCGTGGGAACCCGGCTGCTCAGTTTTACGATTTCATGGTTCCCATTCAAGCTTAGAAGTGGCGACCAGTGGTGGTTCTGTGTGTCTTCCTTTCTACAGTTCCACGGGGCCGGCGCCCCTGTGGCGCCCAGTTACGTGAGCTGACGCGGTTCTCCGTCTCTCGCAGACAAGTTCTCGGGCGTGTGCGGTAAGTCGGGCGTCAAGATGATGATGAAGGACGGCACAATGCAGAAGGTGCGCCTCATCAAAAACTGCGGAATCGTCTCCATCCTCAACTACAACGAGCGCGTGCCGCCCATCGTGTCGCACCTGACGTTTGCGCACGAGATCGGCCACACGCTCGGCTCCTCGGTCAGTCCCCTTGCACCTGTCTCCTGGTCCGGTCCGACACTAGACACAGGCGGCCTGTGCTCTGACGGACACGGCGTGAGGCTCCCGCGAGTGAACACGTACGGATGTTACAGATGGAGCCCGTCGGAGATATGCACATCGGCATACCTGCTCCCGATGTTTTTCTCTAATCTTGCCGTCCAGTTGAGAGCTTCAAGCTAAAATGTTTCCCATTTATTCGTTCCTACCTGTTTTATCTTGCTTGCTTCTGCTGCTTCGCGCCTCTAAGCCTCTCAATTCATTTGGAGTGACGACCGGCCCCTGTGCTGTGGTGCCCAGACGACCTCGGCGTCCAACTCGCCTCCCCGTCCCCCGCGTGCCAACAGCACGACCTGCCGGAGAACAACAAGCCCGAGTGCGTGCCGGGCGGCTTCAACGGCAACTTCATCATGTACCCGTACTCGGTGTCGGGCTACGACCCCAACAACTCGCGCTTCTCGCCGTGCAGCCACCGGCTCATCTCGCGCGTGCTGGACATCATCGCGGAGGGCAAGCGGCGGCAGTGCTTCATCTGTGAGCCGCCCCGGGCCCAGGGGCGGACGCTGCGGCGTGGTGGCGTGGAATGCTGCAGATTTCCCATGCGGTGACTGGTGTAGATATTGGGCGACTTTCGCAGCGGTGTCTGAGCTGGTGCTGCAGGCGTCGCTTACAGGAGAGTGCAGCCGTATTGAACGTATTGAAATCACTGGCCGATCATGGCGGTGCTGTTGTGATTCTCCGGATTTGGAAATGTGGATGTCTGTGACTATCATCCAGCGCTCTGTCCCCAGCAGCAGGAGCCGTCCGTTCTCTCATGAGGGCCACAGTGTCCATGGCCCTCGCCTAGACGTCCTCCCCGAGGGAATCAGAGTCCACGCCTGCCCGTCCCCAGCCGCTGCGTGCGCCGCCAGCGTCTGACGCATGGCCGCCGGCTCGTCCCCAGCCACCGTGCCCAGCTACTGCGGGAACCGGGTGCGCGAGCCCGGCGAGGAGTGCGACTGCGGCTTCTCGGCCGACATCTGCTCGGACCGCTGCTGCTACCCCCGGCTGCTCACCGACGCCGACCGTGATGCGAACCGCTCGGCGGCCGGCTGCGCGCGCCGCGCCGACACCCAGTGCAGGTCGGTAGGGACGCGCTCCAGTGCGCGGGGCGCCAGAGCTCCAATGTCACCGTGTCTTATGGGCGCCATATGACCATTGAAGTCGGTGCGCCCCGAAGCCCAAATCATCATCACCGTGCCTTATGAGGATCATGCCACGAGAACTGAAGACCATAAGCTCGGCCTCCAGAGCCGAGCGCGCGCCGCGGACTAAGGAGCACCTGTGTGCGATGCCGCAGCGCCAGCGAGGGTCCCTGCTGCCAGCCGGACACGTGCCGACTGGTGCCGGCCTCCGTGGCGCGCACGTGTCGGCAGGAGACCGACTGTCAGCTGCGCTCCACGTGCAACGGCTCCAGCTCCACCTGCCCACCGCCGGCACACAAACCCAACATGACCGAGTGCCAGAAGGGCTCCAAGGCAAGGCTCGCGACGTGGAAAGTGACCTGTCTGTCCGTCTTTGCTGTCCAAAGGTAAAACTCCATGTGCTTATTTGTGGCGATTTTGAGTGTTTGATGCCACTTGATTCGCCTTCTCAAGCTGAATTCAATTATTGAAGCCATGAGGTGAAATTTTCACAAACTTAGCCATTTCTTTGGCTAAAAGCCTGTGCAAATTTCAAAGAATGGCTTAGGTAACGGAACTTGAATTGTAAAGATCAATCAAATAACATCAAAAGCGCCAAATTACCAAAAAACAAACATACGAGATTTTGCCTTTGGACGGCAGAGTGCCCCGGGCTGCTGAAGGCGAGATGACAGCTAGGGATGGCCTGGTGCAGTACCCGAACGTGTAACGGATGACGTGGTTCTTGGGGTTTCGTGTGAGAGCCGCCTGCTCGGAAAGCAGAGGAGCTGTTGCACACAGCTGTTCAGTTCAATCTGCAAGTGCTGTTGGCAAGCACCGTTCGTCTCCCCTAGACTCGCAACTGCTTTACGGTGCTTCGTTCGTCTGGAGAGCTCAGCATGCTTAGTATGAAGACCTTATGACCGTCCGCCACTGCTGACGTGATGACCGTCCGGCACTGCTGGCTAATGACCTTCCGTCACTAATGAACTAATGGCTGTCCACCACTGGCGACCTGACAACCGTCCGCCACTGATGACCTGATGACTGTCCGCCGCTGGTGATCTGATGACTGTCCGCCGCTGGTGATCTGATGACAGTCTGCGAGTGGTAACCTGATGACCGCCCGTCTCCGATAACCTGACCACCGTTTGCCACTGATGACCTGATGACCGTCCGTCACTGATGACCTGATGACCGGCAGGTCTGCATCGCTGGCCTCTGTCAGGCGTCCGTTTGTGTCAAGACAGGGCTGATCGACTGTGCCCTCACCTCTAACGACACCCAGGTCAGCGGCGTAGAAGCGTTCCCCTGCTGGGGCGCTTGAGGTTCTATTAGGTTACGCTGATGTTG